TCTGTTGTAGGAACTAGGGAACTACGGAACTATGAGATTATGTATGGACTTTAGGGGGATAAACTGTGTGTGTACACAACCTATACCCTCTTCCCCTCATGAAGGACATGCTATATCACCTAGCCAAGAGAATAGTTTTTACCAAATTAGACCTCAGAGAAGCATACTATCTGTACGCATCAGGGAGGGAGATGAATGGAAAACAGCATTCAACTGCCCCCTAGGGAACTTCCAATTCAAAGTGATGCCTTTTGGACTGCAGTGGTGTTCATGCAGTTAATAAACAAGCTGCTTCATGAACACCTCTACAAGGGGGTCCTTGTCTACCTGATCGACATCCTCATGTACACTGAGACCATGAACGATGACATGCCCTCAGTCCGCCAGGAAAAACCTCTGGCAGTCAACCTGTACGTCAAGCTATCAAAATGTGAATTTCACTGCACGCGGCTTGACTACCTAGACTACCAAGTGTCAAATGAGGGCATAGAGATAGACCCAGCCAAAGTACAAGCTGTCCTAGGCTGGCAATCCCCTCACACCCACAGACAGCTACAAAGCTTCCTAGGGTTTGCAAACTTCTACAGACAATTCACCCCCTCCTTCACAAAGATCACCAAAACCACAACAGACCTCTTAAAGATGGGGGGCCCAGGGATGAAACCCCGCCTGGGGCAACCTCTACAGTGGGACCTAACCTGCCAAAAGGCATTTGAAACACTAAAAGAAATGTTTGCAAAGGAACTGGTGCTGAAGTATTCTGACCCCAAACAACCCTTCATTATCCAAGGAGACACCAGTGACGTGGCAGTGGAAGTAGTACTACTCCAAAGAAATAGCCAAGGAAACCCACAGCCCTGCGCCTACACCTCCTGCAAGCTCATGGACACAGAGAGATGATGGGCCGCATGGGAAAAAGAGGCTTTCGCAGTGAGATGGGCACTGCTAAGGTGGCACCACCTGCTGGAAGAGGGCCAGAAACCATTCGAAGTCTGAACTGACCACAAAAATCTGGAGGCCCTCAGGACCCCAAAAAAACTCTCGCATAGAAGTTAAAAGATACTGGACTAAAATCCACACATGGCTAGAGAAAATATACAAAAACACATAGACTTTAAACCAGAGATTTTTTATTGGGAATCATACCAGAAACATATAATAAAGATCTGAAATATTTGATTGTAAAAGTTTTAACGGCAGCTAGAATTGTATTTGCAAAAAATTGGAAAAATGAGAAAATACCAACACAGGAGGAAGTTATTCAAAAAATAATGGAATGTGCNATTGATGAAGATGTTGATGACTCCTGGGCCTAAAACAGCCTTGGGGTACTCCACTGCATACTTCCCTCCATGTAGATGCAGTTCCATTGAGGACTTGCAGATGTAATTCCAGGACGTTGAGTGCGGTTGGTCAGCCAGTTATGAATCCATCTGGTGATTCACTTAACAGCTGTGGCAAGAAAGGTCGTAAAATGGAGCAAAACACAATAAATTTTTGGCCTCGATTGTTGGTTGTAAGTTGATGATTACCCATATTTATAACAGATTCCACTGCTTGTTAGCCGCAGGTTAAAAGAATTATAGGCAATCCTCGTCTTACAGACACAATCAGGACCAGCGTTTGCATTACTAAGCAACATGTTTATGTCTGGTTTTATGACGTTCGTTAGGCAAACCACTGCAGTTGTTCAATGACTCACACGGTCATTAAGTGAATTCAGCGTTCCCCGTTGATTTTGCTTGTCAGAAGCTGTCTGGGAAGGTTGCAAACGGCGGTCACATCATCACATGATGTTGCCACTGTCATAAATTCATGCTAGTTGCTAGGTACCCTGATTTTGTTCACATGACTGAGGAGATGCTAGGACGGTTGTAAGTGCGAGGACGGGTTATAAGTCAATTTTTTTTCAATGCCACTGATAGTAGGCCTAAAATTATCTGCACCTTCCTGTCCTTCATATTTCCCGACCGTAACAGCTTGAGGTGTTGGACTTCAACTCCCAGAATTCTCCAGCCAGCGTGCTTGCTGGGGAATTCTGGGAGCTGGAAGTACACATAATTTACAAGCTCCCCAAATTGGGAAACATTCAGCTAAAGGCATTTGATTGAGCAAAACAGTGACTGGTGTTGTGTCCCCCCCAGGATCTGTTCAAGCCACAATTCATGGTCTATCCTGCAACAACACACTCCATTAAGGTTCTTTGGTAAAACCAAGTTATTCCCCAAAATGTGTTTTTGTCCTGTGATCTATTTCCGTGCAACTAATTCTTTTCTTCCATGTTCTATACACACTCGGTGCCCCGCTAAGTATTCTTTACCTTTGTGTATAAAACATTTGGAGAGAACCTGAAGTTCATCAAGACCAACCCCTGAAAAAACCCACATTAAGCCATCTCTGAGTGAGGGCTTTTTAGTTTCAGATTTGCAGTGACGCCCCTCACCTCTCTGGGTCACAGGTTCCAGTTCTCGTGTTGAGACTTTGGGCCAGTCACTTTCTCTTAGTTCAACCCACCTCACAGGGTGGTTGTTGTAGGGGAAATAGGAGGGAGTAATATTGGGTGTGTTCACTATCTTGAATAGTATCTATCTATCTATCTATCTATCTATCTATCTATCTATCTATCTATCTATCTATCTATCTATCTATCTATCTATCTATCATCTACCTACCTACCTACCATCTATGGCTGTTCATGTGTGTGTGTTTCAGTATAGCTCTGGAATGCCTCAAACAATTTCAACCAAACTTGATACACAGATGACTTACTCTCTGGAGAAAAATACTGTGGGGAGGTGGGTGGGGGGTAAGATACCCTAACACCCCTTGGGGTGTGTGTTCTGTTAAGATACAGCCTGGTGTGCCTTAAAATGGCTTCTACTAAACTGCCACAAAATGGCTTCTACTGTACAGCGCAGTAGAGTTGCCATGGTAACGGCTTCACAGTATTCCACAAGGGGGCTCCCTCTGGTAAGGGGGAAAATCCAACATTAGGAATTATGTTTGGTCCGGACATTTCCCCCCCCTATAAAGAAATACCCGAGAAACTGAATGAATGAAAAAATGTCAAAATCAGGCAAGCTCACAGATATTAGGTTTTTTTTTTATAGTTTTAATTTACATGTGCACATTTTTTTTAAAAAAAAAACCAACCACATCCCCCTTTCAAGTTCTTTTGACAGGCAGGTGTGGGGCCCTCCCCACCCCAGTCTCCTGCCTCTCCCCACCCACCCCCAGCTTAGAATTATGGCACATGTTGTTTCTCAACCAGCAGCAACAGGTTGATGGAAAAAAAAGTCATTTTATCCGGGAAAAGGTTTCCATCTGTAGTGGGTAGAGATCGTGTCCAGAAGTTTGATCGGGTCTCTGCAGTTCTGTGCCAGGGGAAAAAGAGGACGGGGAAGGAGCTTTTGCAGAAATGCAAGGGATGTGGGAAGAGTGTGGTTGTTGTGGTGTTGTTGTTTTTGTGGTTTGGTGGGTTCTGTTTGTTTGTTTACCATCTCGAGCTTTTGCGTCCTGCCCTTGAAGGAGAGGAGAGCAGGAAGGAGGAGGAGAAGCAGGATGCAACGAAGGAAGAAACAACACCAGGATGCGATTGTTGTTTCATTGCTGTTTGGATTTCCGAGAGACCCTTTGGACCAGCTTATAAAGGAGGCCGAAATGCTAAAAAAAGAAAGAAAGACAGAATGAGCAAGCAACCTACATCAGGAAAGGGTTTTTTCCTCAAACTTGGCAACTTTAAGACGTGTGGACTTCAACTTCCAGAATTCCCCCAGGACCGTGGATGATAACAAAACCAGGAATGGCTAATGCACCAACGCACGAGACATTATAAAGGAAGTTTATGCCGTGTCAATCTAGGACCATTATCCAAAGTATTTTAATGTATTTCTTACAGTGGTACCTCAGTACTCGACTGCTTTAAAACGCGATGGATTTGGTACTCTTAAGCCTTTTTTCATTGCAAATATTGTCCCAGTAATTGGTCTTTGTTTAGTACTTGACGCACTGCGAGAGGAAGAGGGGGGGGCGGCTGTGGGGAAGAGACAGGAAGTCAGGCATGCTGGGAAGGTTGCTGACATAGGAAGAGGAACCCTACAGAATGGCAGATGAACTGTTGGTTTTTTTCTTAGGAGACGCTTCGCTTCTCATCCAAGAAACTTCTTCAGTTCTTTTTCTTCTTGGATGAGAAGCGAAACATCTTCAAAGAAAAACCAGAACGTCCAGTTGCCTCTCAAACCCCCCCCCCCCTTTCAGACAACCACTATCCACACTGACTGGATGGTGAGGAATGGGAGAATTTATGCTCCTTGCAGACAAAGCTGGTCATTTGCATCCTTTCAGAGGGTTCTTGAGGCCACCTGGAGATTTGTCTGTGTCCTCAGAGTCACCTGAGTAGTGGAAATGGTTCCTGTAAGTCTTCAATTGTGTTCCTGAGGACACAGAGAAACCTCCAGGTGGCCTCAAGGACTCTCTCAAAGGATGCAAATGATCAGCTGTCTGCAAGGAGAGTAAACCCTTCCGTTCCCCACCATCCACTCAGAGCTGAAGAAGCTTCTTGGATGAGAAGCAAAATGTCTTCAAAGAAAAACAAGGAAGTCCAGTTGCCTCTTGCTTCTTCCCGGCTGAAACAATGGATTATATGGTTAATCACACCGTTTCCTTCTTTTTTAATATCCATCGCACCTCCCAGAAACAACGGCGAGTACCGAGGTACCACTGTATAGGTTGACGTGTGTCTTCTTCACACATTATTATGTTCGACCAAGGAGTATTACAAAGAAAAGAGTATTAAATATTTATTAAATTTAATAAAGTCAGCCTCTGGACCAGCTTTTAAGGGAGGTTGGGGTGCTAAAAAGGCCCAAGAAAAACCGAGAAAGCAGAGCCCTAACTACGTTGGGTGTTGGGTTTCTTCAAACCTGGCTACAAAATGCTAGAGCAAGATTTATTTCATTCTATTTATACGTCAAATTTAGAAGCAGCCCACATCATTTGCAGAGTGGCTGAAGATTGTCTTTAGCCTAAGATAACAGCGTTCCGTGCGCCTCGGCGTATATGTTCTGACCGAGGCTTCTCCAGCAGCACGAAGCTGAGTCCTCGTCCGGAAAAACCCCTTTTATTTCATTGACAGTGAATTCCTCTCCAGCCAAGTCTTTCCTCTCCCACAGTCTTTCAAGATAGTCCACAATTACTGACCTTCGTCAGGCTTGGATAGTGGCCAGGCCGAGATCTTTCAGACGCCCACAATACTTGGCAAGAATGTGGGAATGAATTGATTCCTGCAAACTCCCCTCCCCTGTCGCTCCTCTTTTATTTCCTCTGGGAGGGGCCATTCATCGTCCACCTGTGGCCTGACTCCCAAGTTGACTCCTGTTCCTTAGCTGCTCCCTTCATCTGGCCACTCTGCGTATGCGCACACTGAGAACAGACTCCAGCTGTTCTTCTGCCTCATTGATCTCTGACTCCAAAGGCAGCTGATAACTGTCAGAGGGCCTCGGCCCCCTCTCTGCCTCCGACGCAGAGCCCTCATCCGAGCCTTCCCCAGACTCCAGGACTGGCCCAGTTTCCTCCCCAACCTCCTTACTGTCCGAATCTGCTGCCAGCTCTGCTGGCCACTGGTGGGCCACAACATTCGGCCACATGACCCACGGAAGCGTCTTTGGACAATGTTGGCTCCCTTGGCTAAGAAACAGAGATGAACACCAACTCCTAGTTGGACATAACTGGACAAGGCAAACCTTTATCTTTTTAGCCTAATCCAGCAGGGCCCATTCCTACATTCTTAGCTTCATTTCACGCAGCAAAAATTCTGTAGTGAAGTACCGTGCGTGGGAACTCACCTGCACAGCGATGTATGCCACACCAAGGTAGGCTGCTATGCAGAGAGCCAGGAGCAGGTCAAAGATGGCCGGCTTGACCCTGAAAAACACAAGCCACACCCAGTCATGCGACACTGGAGTTTCCCTTCCCTCTGAGCTGCTTGTTCGCACGTCTGCTCCTTCAAAGACCTCTTTCTTCTATCACACCTTTTCTGGCTGCCCCCAGCCCCAAAGGACAGGGACAACTTTGATGGTTGTGAGCCACCCAGAATCCCAGAGTCAGACAGCATACAAGTTTAATACATCTAAGCTTGTCGATCAGAGAGGTTGGCAATTCAGCAGTTCAAATCCCAGCTTCTGCTAACCTAGCAGTTCGAAAGCACGTAAAAATGCAAGTGGAAAAATAGGAACCACCTTTGGTGGGAAGGTAACAGCGTTCCGTGTGCCTTTGGCGTTTAGTCATGCCGGCCACGACTGTTAGGAATATAATCTAACGGTTGGGTTNCAGGCACGCTTTTGTCGTTCGTGCATTTGTGGGTGAACCACGTATGCCACAGGTGGCATGCGCAGCCATTTCTGAGGGCAGTTGAGGCAGCACCCAGTCAGCTCCAGTGCGCATGTGCATGCTGGCCAGCTGATTTTGGCCATGATTTTTGCCTGTTTTTTGCCTCCCTGGAGGGCGAAAAACAGCCCAATGGACAACCTGGAAGTCCGTTCCCGAACTTCCGGTTTGTCTGTTGGGTCGTTTTTCGCCCCCTGGAGGCTTCAGGAGGCTTCTGAAGCCTAGAAAGCCTCTGGAGCCTGTGGAGGGGAAAAAATGAAACTACTAATGAGCCCACCAGAAGTCAGAAAACAAGTCCACTATGCCATTGCATGACCAAAGCCAAGGGAGTGCACAGGGTCACATGCGCATGTACAGGGTGGTTGCGTGCAGGGGTGGTTGTGCGCATGTGGGGGGAGGAAACATAGAATTATGGGTGTGGGCATGCACGCGCATGACGCCCCCTGCACTCCCCCCGTTTTTGGCAAGCGATGACAAAAAAATTAGCGATCACTGACTTATATCTTCTCAACTGATTCATGCGGCAGAGTGGATCGCCACACCTCAGCTGTTTCATTCCCCAGCAGTAACACGGAAGGTAAGTATTCTAAAACTGTGTGGAGCATGTGTCAGGCACAAAGCATGCAATCACCGAACTGGTTGTTAAACCGGCAGGATCCCACCACTGTCTATTGTCTGGATAGCTTAGCATTGGATGCTTCGTCTTAGGCAGAATTAGCTAATTATTTTGCAGCTCCTTTTAACTGAATGTAGCATTCTAGTAAAATTCTCCTTATCTCAGAACCAACCTTCTCACAGACTGCACATCCTGTAGCAGAGCTGAACCTGCTGATGATAACAGGAAAGTTCAGTTAGGCCTGGCTGGGTGCCAAACACTAATTTTATTTCCCACTCTCTTCCAATAACACTCATGTGCAAAAGGAGTTGGACGCAACCTCCGAAACAGAGAGACAACTGAGCACAAAATTTCTCTTATTAAGTGAGACATTGGTAAATGATTTTTTTCTCCATTCACGACATTTCTTGCCACAGTTAAGTGAACCACCAGGGAAGTTAAGTTAATAACGTGGTTGTTAAGTGAATCTGGCTTACCCAGTGACTTTGCTTGTCAGAAGGTTGCAAAAGGGAGTCACATGACCTCGGAAATGGCAACCATCATAAATATGTATCAGTCACTAAGCATCTGAATTTTGATCATGTGACCATGGGGATGTTGCAATGGAGATAGTAGGTGTGAAAAACGATCATAGTCACTTTTTTCAGTGCCGTTCTAACTTTGAACAGTCACTAAAGAAACTGTTGTAAGTCAAGGACTACCTATATATAGGTTTTTTTGGACATAAAATTCAATGTTTTATTATTATATTACTTTTATTCTAGATTTATTTGTACATTAAGACAACATGCTGCAGTGCTCTTCTAAGGTCACAGAAATCCCTCTGTAGCTGTTTTCCTCAATCGGCCATAAGAGGGAGCCAGAACGACTGTTAGTTCTCTCTGTTCGTTAGATGCTGGGCTGATCTGATCTGAGTGTTTTGGAAGCTGGCTGTTAGAAAGTGCCGTGAGCTATTGTAAGTTTTGCAACTGCTAGGAAACTTTGAGTACCGAACTGATTATATGATACTGGACTATGTTATTTGGATTATCCCTTAACTGAAAGACGTTGATGACTGACTGTCTTATCCGTGTATGACTTGGACTGTTTGATGGACTCTGATACCTCTATTTCCACAAAAGCCTATTTAAACTGCAATGTCTTTATATGCTGGTTTGTGTGTTCTCCAACACAACTCTCACAACGCTTCTCTGAACGTACTCGCTCTCCCAATAGGGAGCTTACCTAACAGTGCCCACATTTACTGTTTTAGGCCGCCTATAAAGCAAAGAAAATCTGAAGTAAGATCATAAAAACAGTAACAGTTCCACTTCGCAATTGCTTTGCTTAATGACCGAGTTGCCAGTCTGAATTATGGTCACTAAACAAAGACTACTTGTAACAGACCAAATCAAGTCATAATTTATTTAACAATAACTCATAATAATATGAATA